GGCCATATGTCCTGTGAAGGCTACCACCTGCAGGAACAATAAAGTTCGAAGCAAACCTTCCGTCCTTCAGCGCGGAGACGAACTTGCGCAATGCAGATGCGGTGGGGAGGGAACCGTTGCTTTGACACGGCAGATGGGCCAGGGCCCTCAGGCATCCATCGTCGAATGTTGGTTGCGGATGAGCCGTTTACCACGCGACTGCTAGACCGATCTGGGTCTAGGCGCTCGCTCGGCTGGGTATAGTGAGGCTATCGCAAGCGGGTAGTCGCGTGGCATGATTCACGTACCTGGAGCTGCTGAAGCAATGGCTTCGTTTTTGATGGGTGCATCGCCCCTGAGTTGTTCAGCTCCGCGAGCAGGTTTATGCGGTAGATGCACGTCAACGGTGAATGTTGCAAGTCTCGACCCCGGATTACTACTGTCGCAATGACTCCAGCAATCAGATGAGAGAAAGAGGAAAGACGAAAAACCTGCGCTGCCGCTTGCTACGCCTACTGTGTTGCAGCTGCGACAAGATGCACATCTCATACTCAAGAATCTAGCCATCGGGCTATCCATTCTCTTCGCGGTGGTGTATTCTGGTAAACTAATCGGTTTCATCGCTGCGATACCATCGACTCTGGCCCTGGTCCAGCGGCAGTACGTGCGTACCGTGTCCGGCGCGGCCTCTTTGAGATGTGAGGATTCGCAGCTGAGCGCCGTCATTGGCGGCATTATAGGAGTCTGAGTCGCAACAGCATCCATAGGGATGATTGCCCCATTGCGAGTCAATAAGTTCGGAAGGATCGCATTGCGCAAGCACTGCAGGATGAATGAATTCTGGTTGTTGGGAACTCTTGAAGTTGAGGATTGGCCGCCACGACGGGCGGAACACGGCGGAAGACGAGAACCTGGGTGCAGACTGACTCGTATCGATTGCCCAGCGAACTGATGGCTCGCACATCGCATTCAGAACTTTGGTAGCAGGCGAACTATGCGGTAGCAGAACCAGAGTCCCATCTGCGCCATCCTTCTTGCATGCTGCAGGGCCGCTGGCGTTCAGGCTATACGAATGTCTGTAACACGCCAGGTCAGCCACCGCATGAAAGATTACTGATGGAAAGATGTAAGCCCAACTTCGGGCCTTCTTCTATATCCCTCATTCCCTCTCCAAGAATAGGAGTACATCGGTGTAGAACTCCAATGGTCGTAAGCTTGATGAGAAGCTTCCGCGGTATCTGATTGGTCTATGACATCATGCCCCTCACTTTAGCGCAAGCACGCCACCTGCATTGAAACTCTATCGCAAGATCGCAACCGAACATTGATCATCAACCACATCCTAAACTCGATCCGTTACCCATCCTCCGAAAACTGATTAGAAAGCTTTGCTATGGTCGAATGTCCAGAGTGCGGTGCAGGGGCTGATTTGACGAAAGACGGTGCTTGGGCGCATTGCGCTTCCTGTATGTCAACGCCCCTGATTTTGTAGACATGCATGCTGAGTTGTAATGAGGCAACACGGTATTTGAGCCAGGAAAAGAAGGCAGCCACTACAAGGGCAGCGGAAGCGGGTCTGGTGACAAGGAAGAAGAGAAGAAGAGCGAATCGAAGGATGAGAACGTGAAAAAGGATTGAGATTAAGGGGACGAGCTTGACTTCGAGTGTGAGATGTTCAAGAATGTTCATGTATGTTCACCCAATGATGACCATGGGTTGTACGCAGAGGCCGGACCTGCTTACAGTACGAATGAAATCGCTAATGTAATGACAGACATACAATATACGGCACATGCGTATCTCGTCCGATGTCCAGCAATGGTACATGATCGACGAAGATCTCTTCTTGCGCCTATGTCATCCTTATCTCCGTGATCCTTTCGCTCCAATGGAGTAGCTCATACCTGAGCGATACGCTCAGCAGCAACACTAACTATTCATCAACTTAAAGAAAACCGAGATTTATCCTAGCCTTCCACAGCAATTTGTCTTTTCGGCGGAGACCGCAGATTTCCGCCGGAATCAGCTGCCTCAACATGATCTTTTCGATTTTGCTAGCAACTGTCAGTTGGTTCATTCCATCAGTGGAAAATACTGTATACTTACGCATTACCCGAGTCAGGTTTGTTCTTAACGTCATATCTGGTCAAGATCTCTTTGAGATAATCTAGTACCGCTGCCGCGGGGTACTGAGATGGGAACAGCAGCCTGCAATTTTTTGATCGGCAGTCGTGTCGGCCCTGTCGTCCGTGAAAATACTGGTTCTTTGGGTGAATGGAGGACGTTTTATGCGAACTTTTACCACCGACTCCCCCGGATGCTTTTGCCGGATCGTATTGGATGCGATATGGGCTAGAGAAACGACTGAACTCTGTCTCGACGACCTTTCCCATCCCGTTTACCCACATCGTAGTAGCTGCATACTCAACAGTCTCACCGAATGTGTCTCCCAGCGCATTCATAACATTCAGTCGAAGTTCCTGGAGTGTAATCGTGTGCTCGACGAAAAGGGAATGGCCATCCGGTGTCGAGGCTAATGAACGGATCGTAACAGTGCGATCACCCCATCGTGAAGATGTCTCCAAGAGCAAGGGCAGCACGCTGATGCGCAGGTCTTCCAAGGCGGTCGGGTTTGCTAGGTCGAACTCCAGCACAACCCTGAACTCTTGAGAGTCATCCACCATCCAAGAGTTTGTTGACCACCGCAAAGGCCTGTCGTCAGTTTGGTGTGGGTAAAGTATGTCCTTGGGAAGAGTAAATTTATGACGTAAGATATGATGAAGTTTACTGAAGTTAGTGAACGTACTGCGCTTCTTCTGCGAGTGTAGGTGCAATGCGTACGACCCGGCTCGTAGCAAGCATTCCCGATAAGTCGCATACAGTCGCCTGTTGGCGTGGGCGAAAGTAAGTGGCAGCCTATTGCTGTTGTCGAGATCGATCCAAGTTTCTTCCTGATGATTGACAACCTCCGAAAATATCTTAGAGAGTACGGGGTAGACGGGGAGACTAAGCAAGGTAGGAGGTGTCGGCTTCGTCGAGGTAAGGTGCCGTCCGCTATCGTCAACGGAAAAGCTATAGATTTGTTGCTCACGATCGAGCACAAACCGGAGTGCACAAGAAGGCGGCCGTTTGCCTAAACGGAACATACCCCCAGAACCGTCCCACTTGATTCCGACCGCAAGTATCTGACTGCGAGATGCCTTTAGCATCAGTTGACCTTCGAGGATACACCGCGTGATATGGGTCATCGCTGCAGTATTACAAACTTCGACTATCCACGAAGGGGCTTGATCTTGATTGTAGGCAATCTCGACAGCGAGACGGTGGTGCCAGAGGAATCCCAAAAGTATACCGACCTCAAGAACGTGGTGTCTGTACGGAATTGCACACATAAAGACGCGTGGACCCGAGCTGATAACTGCAACATCGAGGATAATCCTGCGAACCCAATGAACCTGCGATCCCAATCCCTGGAAGAACAAGACAGCAGCTTCAGTCACAGTCGTCTCATTGCGCTGTGATCCTAGGTAGCTGTTTGGGGCTATGAAGAATGCGTTGTTGCTATAGAAAGCTGAGGCCACATCCGAGTAGATACTTCGACATGTCAGAAGCAAGCTCTTCTGAAGCTCATGTTCTGGTCCGAGAGAGAAGCTTATGCGCTCGGAGCTATATTCGAAATGTCGACGGAAGGTGACCTTGATGGGCTCGGAGAACTCTACAAGAAATCCAAAAATCTTATTCCGAAGCTCGGCGGGTAAAGTGACGAGGGAATGTTTGCGCGGATCTGCCGGCTTCGAGTCGCCGCCCGATAGTGGTAAGGGGACTCTAGGATGCGCCTTAGTGAGGGCGTTAAGGGCAGTCGAATGCTTGCTGGCCATGATGATGGCGTTCCTTGATCTGAAGCGATGTGGTTGAGAGTCGTGGAGTGCGTGTAAGGTGTCAGTCAAAATCTGCAAGTCCTTAAGTATATCCAGGGTGGAGAGAACACATGGGGCTATTCAAAATCACGCCACACTGCAGCCTTGAGTCTTACAACGCAATGGACCGTGCCCCTTGTCTTCCGACGCAGATAGTGGCCCTCATGACTTCACTACCCAGACGAACGGGAACCCCAGAGTGAAATCACAACCACCAGAGTCTTCTTTTAGCTTCGTTGTCTATCTTAGATAGCCCAAATGATCGTATGCCCCACGAGGTCGCTCAATCGAAGTGCTGAGAGGCGTTGCCCTGGTCATAGGAGGTGCGTTTGCAGAAGACGTTGCATTCGTATGTAGAGTCGGACTACTCGTAGCGGTGTTGTCGGAGTCTCGGTTACCCATGGCGCGCGCAAGTGAGAGTATAGTATGTGGATGTATGCTGTAGGCGCATGTATCGAAGCGACGAAGTGTAAAACTGGATGTAGTGTGGACGTTAAAAATTGTGATGTAGAAGTCAAGAAGCGTGATGTCTTTTTGTTCTTGATCTTGTATCGACTTGGCTAGCACCTGCTCGACAACTTCAAAGCGAAGGAACATGGCTGCGGGTGGAGCTCTTAGATTTCTGGCGATATAGGCGACGAACCCAGCTCCAAAGCCGAAGAGATGTGTCGTCTTGCCGCGCCAAGCGCATTGGGATGAGGTGTATTTTGAGTCGGTATGCATGACCGCAAAGTGGGGGACCATGTGATAGGCATGGATAGTCTTTGATCCGCGGGTTCGCTTCTCCCCGTTCTTGATCATATGGAGCACGAAATAAAACTTCGCCTTTGCCTTCAAGGTCTCGTACTTCTTTGCATGACGTCCCGTCGTGTACTTGAGCTTCGGCTCCAACGACTCGTGGTCGGACATTTCTCCGTCCATCATATTACCCTCATCTGTGTTTTCCACCTCTTTCTTTGGCATCTTGTTGTATGAACGGCGTGTCATCTCTCTGCCGTCTGTCTTCAACATCGGGACGATGTCATGAAGCATCCGAATAAGATTGTGGCTTGAGGGCTTATCTTCCACAGGAATCTTCACATCTTTCTCGTTGAAGTCAACATCTCACTCGTCGTAGACATTGTTTACGCCTGGAATATGGGCGATGTCTCGCCTGGCATTAGTAATGGCGGCTGTGAGCGGGTATGGGGTTCGATTGTCAATATCCCACTGGGCGAAGTATCCCTGATCGAAGTCGGTCAAAAGGAGGGCCGCCCCGACTTGCGCGCCCAGATGTTGCAACTCCATTCTGATCGATTGCACATGGGTAGAGAGCATCGCAATTGTTTGGTAGAGATATTCTTGATCCTTAACCTTCTCTTGGAATTTCTCTAGCTCTGAGTTGCTGACGTTGGCAGGGACGACGCAGGTTTTCTGTAAGAAGCTGTGCAGGGCTGAGTTGAGATCCTGTATATGCTGCAGCCTCGGTACCAGCTCGTCCCGGTAGATGACGGCAGCATCCTTGCCGATCTGCTTCTTGTTCTCCTCGTTGACCTAGAGACGGTATCGTGCTAGAAAGCCGAGTTCGTCGCAGAAGGTCTTGCCGACTACGATCAGAGTTAGAGTTCTTTACAACAGGCTGTGCCGACAATGTAGCTTCGTCGCCTTACTAAGAAGAGATATACGAAAACCAGGGACATACTGAAGCAAGTCTTGCTAGAGCAGAATACGTCGATGTTTTTAGTTGCTAGGGAGGAAACAATAAAAGCACACCCATGTGATGGCCATTCTTAGTACGTGCACTTCCCACAGTACCCACAGTCGTCAGCAGAACACGCAGTGTAGTCTGGCTCAGAACCTGAATCGTCGTCGCAGCCACTGCCAAGCTCATACCTCGCATCAATATCGACACCGCCATCATTGTAATCGTCCTCATCCGAAGCATCATCCTGAGTAGAGGAAATACTAAACCCCGTCTTCTCCCACCTGTCGACCAAATCTGCAGGCAAGGCGTGTACGCCGTCCCCATACTGTTTTCGGATCTCTAGGCGATCCGCTCCGGGGCAATACACTTCGAGCAACTTGTTTGTGCTGCTCTTGGCGATGTCAACGATCTCATTGAGGAGTGTTGCGAAGCGGCGGATACCGTCTCTATTCTCTCGGACCCAGGCTCGCACATCGCTCTTGACATCTTGTACCTGTATGTCTTCGAAGAGGCCATAACCGTCGTGGTAGGCAACGATGAAGTTGGATATCTGTTTCATCCAGAGCGCCGGGTAGATGTCGGTCATGTCGATGGGTTTCTTGTATTTGCCTGAGCGGGTCTTCAGGTCAAAGATGGAGTGATGCGGTACTGTAGATCCGCGGTGTTCGATCTTGAGCTCTTCCGGCTTACCCATTGCGTTGCTGGGCGAACGGCCGATGGCTGCTTGCTGGAATGCTTGCAGAAGCTCATCTTGGTCCCCAGCAGTCTGTGCGGGCGCGACATCACGGACTGCTAGGGAGTCATCAATGTAGCCGTCGCTTTCGAAGCGTACAAGACACTCCAAGCCGCCAAACTCATATCGTATGATGCGCTGGTGTGTCTCAGAACCCTTGACACTATGCTCCCATGTGGTGTATGCTTCTGGAAACGTATGACCAAAGCCTCTGATATCCTTGATAACTTCTTTGGGGTCGTTCTCTTTCCGTACAAAGAAGACAGTCTCGCCAATGACCTCGATGTTAAACCGAAAGGCTTTGTCGACACCACGAGCGAAGCGCAGGAGGTTGCCAAGGGTGCTTCCGCATGCGAAGACATCGGTGTTCGTAGCATCGAATTCGGGGTCGGTCTCTGTAATAGCATGTACGACGGGTGCCATGGGGAAGTCGGGATACTTTGCAGCATTGGGGTCGCGAAAGTACTGTCCGTCGTCTTCTTTCAAACGCTGTGGGGCTTGGAGTGGTGTCCAGCGAGGAGGTTTACCTAGAACTGTCAGCTCCATCTGGTATGCAGACTACAGCAAGATGAAAACGTGCAAAGTGGGCGGGCTAACGTCCATGTAGGCACAAAGCTTACCTGGAACGACGATGGTAGGTACCTCGTCATTGAGCCAGTTGTACGACGCGACATGTTGGCAATTCGATATCTCCGCCGAGTCGATTGGTTTCAGACTCAGATCGGAGCTGCGAAACACTTTCACAGGGTCTCCAAGCGGATGTGTCTGGAGATCCGGTTTTGGCTGCTCTCTGTTCTTTGCGAAGTGAGGCGCTCTTCCTCCGCGGCCTCGCCCTCTGCGTGGAGCCCAGCCACCTCTGCCGCTGCCTGAAAACGAAGCCATATTGCGGAAATGTACTGACTAGTTTCGAAATCGTGAATTGCGAGGCTGAGTTATGCGCTGGATGGAAAGCGACACGCCGGCTTCAAGTATGGCATGCTGCCTAGACAAGGCTGAGTTCGTGTGGCGCTGTTTGCTCAACATGCAGGTCGCACAGCGCATGCCTGTAGGCCTCAATTCGTCCAGAGCTCACCAGAACATGCAGGCAGACAAAGATTGATGCCTCGCCGCATAACAAAGTGTGAGTCTCTTCCAATCATTCGCACAGCCCGTTATCAGAGAATCATCGCGCATGCGCTGGGGTTTGGTGCGGCCTCCCGGCTACCCATTCAGAAAGCTCAAAAGAACCAAACGCCCTCTGAAGAGCGATGGAATAGCGGCAGATATCAGCTTGTCTTGATAAATCTTTTCTCAACAGTTGATACCTTACACGATACAAACCTCATCCATGGCGGACCAGGACGCCGCGAAGCGTGCCGCAGGGTTGACGAAGCTCTTCAACGCTATCATCCATGGTCGTCGCGAAATCAAGACGGCGGGCGACAGTAATCGATTTTTGGAGGCGTTGTGTGCTCAAGAAGACGCGTCGAAGTGTGTTGAGTGTCTGATCGCGTCTTCGGCAGGGCTAGCGGCCGTCGGCGTTGCCTTCCGCACCACCGGGGATAGCGCGTTCCTCAACGGGTGGGCAACCGCCGTCATCACTCATCTGGCCCAGCCCCCTGTCAAGCAACTCTACGGCGGCCAATTTCTACAGCGCGTCCTCGAACACATTGTCCAGCCTCCTACATTCTGGAACACCTTTGTGAACGCGCATGATGGTCACGTGCTTTCCAGCGATGGCACTCGCGCGTTCGCGTGGCTGCTACTCGAGCTGCTATACAGTCGCTCTGAGGACATTCCAGATGTGCGAGATGTCGCAGAACGCGTCACTAAGAATGCATCTTTCATCGATTCAGACTCGCTGGATATCCGCAACATTGGGCATAAGATCAAGCATGTCCTCGACAGCACATCCGACCAGACTGTCGACGGCCCAGGTGGGCGACACGACAACGACTTCGCGCAAATCCACAAGATCAAGCTCTTACCGACGCCAGACGAATTCGCATCTTCCGAGCATCCATTCTACAGACGCGCTGATTCCATCGTCTCTGTCACCCCGGAGAGCCGCGGTCTGACCCATGTTGATAACCAATTTCGCTTACTCCGCGAGGATCTTCTCGGGGAGCTACGTAACGACTTTCAGATTGCCAGTGGTCAGAAGAAAGGTCGTCGTAAAGTGGTTCTCGAACACCTGCAATATGCCGGTATCGACTGCGGACCAGAGGCGAAACCCAAGCCTTGCGCGCTGCAGCTTCTTTGTCCAGACGACGTTCCTCAGCTGCGCAACGTCAAACCCGCGAACCGCAAGAAGTTCCTCGCCGACAACAAGAACGTCCTGAAGCATCAGTCACTGGGCTGTCTCATCAGCAACGGTAACATTGTTGCGTTTGCAACTGTGGACCGTGATGAAGATCTCCTTGCGAAGCAACCTGCTGTTGTAGTGCTGCGAGTGGCCGACGCCAGCTCGTTTGGCAAAGTGCTGATGGCATGCAAGCTCCAATCTGACCTTTGCTTTGTGCAGGTAGATACTGCTGTATTTGCGTATGAGCCTGTCCTGAAATGTCTTCAGGACCTGACTGAACTGCCACTGGAAGACCAGCTCCTCAGTCTTACGCCAAACTCCGCAGAAACCCCGTCCGGCATCCAACCGACAAAGACTGTCAACGCCATTCGCGACCACTGGGAAGAGGACCTTCAAGACATCATCGGAAGCACTCATCCAATCAAGCTCGACCAGGCCCAAGCAGAGTCACTGTTGACTGGTCTAGTAAAGAGAGTCAGTCTGATCCAAGGCCCACCAGGTACAGGCAAAAGTTTCATCGGAGCACTCATCGCAAAGATATTGCACGATCGTACCAATGAGACGATGCTCATTCTCACTTACACGAATCATGCTCTGGATCAATTCCTGGAAGATATCCAAAAGGCCGGCATCCCTGCTAGTTCGATCGTGCGGCTGGGATCAAAGTCGAATGCCAACACTCGCGCACTGACCATCAGAGAACAACCAAATAACTACAAGATGACGGGACAAACATGGACCATGATTCAAGACCAAAAGTCGGAAGCGGAATCTTACCATGACGCACTAGTCAGGAGGATGACATCTTTTACGTCTATGCGGCTCAATGAGCAGATGCTCCTGGACTACTTAGAGTTCTCGGATGATTCAGAATACTTCGATGCGTTTGTTGTGCCCGACAATAAAGACGGTATGACAGTTATGGGGAAAAAGAATAAACGCATCGACAAGTACTACCTAGTCAAGAGATGGGTCAATGGAGAAGACGCTGGCATCTTCCTTGGTCATGCGATGCAAACATATCCACACGTTTGGAATGTTCCGCCGCAGATCCGTCTTGGACTTCAGGCGCAGTGGAACAAGACGATACTTGAAGAGCGGGTCACCGAAATAAGCACACTTGCCAACAAGTACAACAAATGCTGTGCCCAGGTCGTTCGACTATTTCGCGAGAAGAACTTTCACGTGCTCAGTCAGAGACGCATCATCGGATGCACTACCACAGCAGCTGCTATGTACACCGAAGAGATCCGCAAGGCCTCACCAGGCATTGTTCTGGTGGAAGAAGCTGGAGAGATCCTGGAGAGTCATGTGCTTACAGCTCTAACCCCAACCACGAAGCAGCTCATCCTGATCGGCGATCACAAACAGCTGCGGCCAAAAGTCAACAGCTATGCCTTGACTTTAGAGAAAGGAGATGGCTACGATCTCAATGTCTCTCTGTTCGAACGTCTCGTGCTCAGCGGAGTTCCACATACCACGCTCAGCAAGCAGCATCGTATGCGCCCTGAGATCTCGTCCCTCGTTCGGTCGCTCACATATCCGGAATTGGAAGATGCAGAGAAGACTCAAGGTCGACCGAACTTACGTGGTCTTCAAAGCAACGTTATATTCGTGTCACATTCGCGCCCTGAGCTCAACGCGGTACAGATTGCCGACGGCCGCGATGGAGGTGCTAAGTCCAGCAAGGAAAACTTGTACGAGGCTGAGATGGTGCTGAAATGCGTGCGGTACCTTGGTCAGCAGGGCTACGGTACGGAAGACATTGTGGTGCTGACACCTTACCTGGGTCAACTATACCTGTTGATGAACACTTTGTCTAAGGACAATGACCCCATTTTAAACGATCTGGATTCCTACGAGCTCATCAAAGCGGGTCTGATGACGCCGGCTGGCGCGAACATTTCCAAACGCAAGCTTCGCATTTCAACTATCGACAACTATCAAGGTGAAGAGAGCGATATCGTAATCGCATGTCTCACACGCAGTAACGATGCTGGGGATATCGGCTTCATGTCGTCTCCTCAACGAGTCAACGTGTTGCTATCACGAGCGCGAAACGGTTTGATCATGATCGGCAACGCAGACACTTTCATGAACAGTCGCAAAGGCAAGGAAGTATGGGTACCGCTTATGGACCAGCTGAAGCGAGACGGCCATGTCTACGGCGGCTTTCCTGTCAAATGCGAGCAGCATCCCGAAAAGACCGCGCTTCTAACCGAGAAAGAACAATTCGATACGGTGTGTCCAGACGGCGGCTGCTCTGAACCATGTGGCAAACTACTCAACTGCGGACTGCATGCTTGTCCCCGTCAATGTCATCAGTTGCAAGACCATTCACGAATGGATTGCAATGTCATCATCTCCTCAACATGCCCTAGTAAGCACAAGACCACTCGAAAGTGCCATGACAAGGCGCCAGCGCACTGTCGGAAATGTGAAGCCGAAGTGCGAGCCAAGGAAAAGAAGCGGCAACGCGACCACGAGCTAGACGAACAACGAGAGGCCAAACAACGTGCATATGCCGCTCGTTTAGTCGAGATTGAGGAAGAGATGGAGCACCAGAAGCGCCTTCTGAAAGAGCAGGCCGAGGAAAGAGACCGCCAGCAAGCGCTGGAGCAGAAGAAGCAAGATCTTCGCAACCTGCAGGAGAGGGTCAAGAAATCAAAAAACGCTCCAGTGCCAGCACCTTCGACATCTACTACTACGCCGGTTCCACCATCCGATACTGCCAAACAACAGGGCGATAAACCAGCGCCAAGTACAACGACTGATCACCGTAACGATACCCCGACCAATGACAAATCCACGTCGTCGGATTCGGACGAGGACCAGCCTGATTGGGACAAGAGTGAAGCCAGAGATGAGTGGGAATGGCAGAAGAAATTTGAGGGTGCAGAAAACGAAGCTCTCGACTCTCTGGTACCTATGATAGGGCTTGAATCCGTCAAGCAGCAGTTCCTCGCGATCAAGGCCAAAGTCGATACGGTCGTACGTCAGGGTGTATCACTTAAAGGGGAGCGTTTCGGTGCTGCCCTGCTAGGCAATCCTGGGACAGGAAAGACGACTGTGGCTAGGCACTACGCCAAGTTCCTAGTTGAGGTAGGAGCTTTGCCTGGTGGCCACTTCATTGAGAGTTCTGGATCAGCTCTTGCAAATGACGGCGTATCCGCTTGCAAGACCCACATTGATGACATACTCCAAGCTGGAGGTGGTGTATTCTTCATCGATGAAGCGTATCAACTGGTATCTGGAAACAGTCCCGGCGGCAAAGCGGTGCTCGACTACCTGCTTGCAGAAATGGAGAACTTGACAGGCAAGGTCGTCTTTGTTCTCGCAGGCTACCACAAGCAGATGGAAGCCTTCTTCTCCCACAACCCTGGCATTCCGAGCCGCATACCAATCCGAATGGAGTTCCAGGACTACGAAGACCGCGAGCTACAACAAATCTTCTGCCAGTACATTGACAAGAAGTACTCCGGACGCATGAAGATTGAAGACGGCATGAAAGGCCTTTACGTACGTATCGTTGCGCGGCGCATTGGTCGTGGTCGAGGCCGTGATGGCTTCGGGAACGCCCGCGAAGTCCAAAACAAGA